GGCAGGGCGGGGCGGGCAGCAGGAAGCCGTGTAACCTCGGCTCCTCTGTGGCTCAAGGGAGCACGCTGGTGGTGGCAGTAAACACACCACGGTGGCTCCTGCGGACAGAGCTCCTTCTCGGTGGCAGTCGCCGTACACACACTGGCCTTCACGCCTCTGATCTCACCACGCGCGGCCTTACCTAAATATCTCCATAGCCGTGCGATCGAAGGGGAGATCAACCTAAGTTTGCGACTCTTTTTTGTATTTTTTGAAAAGAGGTTTTTGCCTTAGGGCACACTGGAGAGACAGAGACAGAGAGAGGGAGAGTAAGAAATCATTCCTGGGGGACAGCTACACCGCAATCCATTCTTCTCCCAGGATCTCGAGCATGTACACGTGTGTCCGATATGCATCTCAAGCTGCCGGTCCAGACTCGAGCCACATGTCACTGGGAGTCCAGTGACATAACCGCTAAGCCACCTGCTGGCCCAGTTTGCAGTTCTTGAGGAAGCAGAGCTGAACTCTGCTATGGGTCCCATGCAGCACCCGCGACCAGCCTGTTCATGTGGAAACCCATCACCACTCTACACGGCGACTGCTTCTGCATATTACCCATTTTCCCAGGACGCATAATCACACTGTTTTTCTCCCCCATTCTCTGAACCTCCTCTCGGGCCCCACTGACAGCTGATACCCTCGCTTCTCCGCCAGATCCACCGTCCTGCCGGCCTCTGCACCACAGCTCCCCGGCTCATCTCTGAGCAGAGAACAGTCTCTTCACCACCGCCTGCCCTCAGCCGGCTCTCTAAATCCCACCCCCTCGTGGTTTCAAGAACCCTCCTTCTCCTATCCCTTCTCTCCCCACCAATATGAATATTTTCTCTGTTCTATCACTATCAGCACCATAACATGCTCCAGAACTTCCTGTCTTTTTTAAAAGAGGTTTTGCCTTAGGGTGTGTGCACGAGAGAGAGAGAGAGAGAGGAACAGAGACAACGAGAGGGAAATTAAGAAATCACCCCCTGGGGGGATGGCCATGTTACAATCCCTTCTCCTCTACTCTCCTCTTGGGATTTTGGGCACATATGCACACGCACCTGGTGTGAGTC